CAGATTTGGGAAAAAATTCACAAATGCAATAAAATTTTTACAGTCACGTGTTTTAAAATAGGTTTGCCACGTTGCATTCTCTTTATTAGTATCACGTGATAAAAGATCTGCAATACAGATTTCAAAATTTTCAATTCTTCCAATTCATTCATTTTAATATAAAAAATTTGCGTGTAACACGTCACTTTGGGGGATTAACATAGTAAATTTGTTAAAATTGTGCAACTTTAAGGCTTAATTTCTCCACAACAACATGGCGTATCAACAAAATGAAAATGTCATTTTGTAGAAAAAGGTCTTGGCTTCAAAATGTCATCTTGTTTTTTTTGGTCACACATTTCCATTTTTGGAGGAGTTAAAGGATTTGCAAGACTAATAAAAGTTGTAGGGACTAGGTGTCCTGCACTATACAGAGTTAAAAATATCAGAAATGATTTTAAATAAGGCAGGATCTAAACTTGTATAATAAGTGCAAAAAATAAGGGATGCTTATATTTAAAGAAAATTACCAATTATTTATCCATTTTGGTTCATCTGACAACGTATTCACGGGTCCCCTTATTCCAGTAACTCAAAATGGTGGTAGGATCAAACCAGATTCTTTTTTTTTGGATCCCAAAATAAATATTAGAGATCAATCATTTACACAACCAGGACAATCAGTTCACTTTATAAAAAAGTGAGAAAAAAATCATAAAATATTTATTTATTATTTTTAAATAAAATTACTTAATATCTTACAGTTTGCATAATACATTTTTATTAAACTTATTCAGAGTACTATCGTCATCCTTTATTATTGCACCATCATCAATTTTATCATTTATTGGTTGTGTTAAAAATTCTTCATCATCTCTTACCGTCATAAATTGATCATATTCAATCAACATTTTGTCTCCCTTTGGTTTACTAAATAATAAGGTTAACAAATCATATCGTAAATTTTCGACAAAAGAAGGTTGTTTCTGCAGTCCATTTTTTACTTCAATCTCATTAGTCAGATCCAATTGATCAAATGCTTTATTACGTGATAAATGAGGATATAACTCTTCATATTTATTAACGTGATTATACCACCAACTTAATTTCGTTAATCTATAAGCTCTAGAAACCGCGAGATCTTGCATAAATACTATGGTATTGAGAAAACCTAAAGAAAAAAATTATTAACATTTAATAATAAAATTGCTAAATCATGTGGCATATTTTATTATTAGTTACCTTGAAATGTGATGAAAGTAGCCAACACTAAAAATGCAAAGTTGATTTTCTGGTTAACATAAATGTCAGTTTCAACCAAAAAATTTGGTGCCTGAGTTATTATAGGCACAACAGGATACCATATAACCCTTTTGACCACTAATGATATGATGGCCTTGTTCCTTAAAACATTCTTTTCATATCGACTTGACACTGTTTGACCACTAATATTAGTGTTTACTGATTGACTTGACACTTTGTATAATTTTACCGCAACACAAATTAAAGTTATTGTACAATATAGTATGCAAAGTAATTCCCAAGCGTAGAATGATGCCCATTGCCATATAATACTCGTTTTTGTACCCGAGTCACGGAAAAAGCACAAACTATTATTAATATTATGAAGTAAAGATTATATAATTAATGATGATATCGTAGTAAATTAATGATTGGATGTAAAAACTTACCCTTCGGGCTCATTCCAACCATACATGTTCTCAGAGAATGGAATTAATGATAGAATTGAAGCTAAAGAGAGTGAACCTATGAAATAAAACATTTCTAATTTACGTCTACCCCTGTACTCATGAATGAAAACGATTTGTAGATTCTGTTTAATTCACGCGATCACAATATCCAATTAATATTTTAAATAAAGTAGTTAATTGATTGACTAATAAAAGATATACATACCATGGCAATACAAGTAGGCAACAAAATTGATAAAAGACTAAAAAAGACCAACCCCCAGGTAGTGGCTGTACATACTGGGCCGGGAAATGCAAAGATTGAACCGAGTATCATAGATCCAGAAACACAAAAGTCTGATATCATTGTAACAAATGCAAGTCGAAACGTAACTCTGTCAGCTAATCGGGGATATTTATATCTTATATAAAAAAACACTAAAATCCCAAATGTAGCTGTGATCAGTGATATTACGCCACCAATTAAGAATAGTAGAAGAACTACCTTCCCTTGTTCATCAGTTATCGAATATACAACAGTTTCTGTGGCATCTGGATCCGACATTATATATATCCTAATAAAATAACAACAACGATAACAATAATATAAGGAGGAAAGACAATAAATATTATTTAAAATATTGAAAGGTTAAAAAAAAATTATTTTATTAGATCAAAAATTCGTTAGAATAAAATGCGGAGAAAGTAAAAAACAGGAGTTATTTATCTAGATCAGTTTGTTTGTTTGACTCTTCTTTAATTATTATTCTCTTATCATTGCCAATTGATTGGTTTAAGTTCGTTTGTTTATGGTGACATTTAATTTTAAATAATTTTGTTATGATAAAACTATCGTAATACCATCCAAAGTACAAAAAATTTGCTCTAACAATTTGATATTGGAGAAGCAAAATAAATGCATTCTAATGCAATTTATGTTCGCGAAGCTCTGCAAGCACCCTTGAATAGATGATGAATGTTATAGTAAATACCTAATACTAAAAATTTCTATTATTATATTAGAAAATGCAATGTGTTACAAAATTTGACCGATGGTAATAGTAACCTACTAATACTATATAATATTAAAAATCGATTTCTTTGCATCGCACGATCTTGATTTGATCATAAAAAAGAGTGATTTTATTTACCAGGCTAAGCGCGTGAGATATATGGCTTAATTATTTTAGTTATGTGTACTCCCAATAGTCGTTATTTGTTACTTTGTACAAAAACAGTTGCATTTTTGGGATGATCCAACAATTCAGATAATCTGGAAAAGGAAATATAAATGTTATGAATCTATTTTTCGATTTAATTTTTTTGTGACCAACCCATTGTTTTTATTATTCCCAGCGGATTATAACGGGATAGATTCGCGTGATTATGATATTAATATTAATATTAATATACTAATACTAATATAAGTTTTATAAGTTTATAATTTTCCCAAACTTAAAAAATAAATCCACATTATCTATTACTATATTAATATTAATTAATTCGGATTTCTAAGAAACATTAATCCATACATTTCTAATAATGATTTCACGCTAATAATTCTTCAAATAAAATTATTTATCTAAAAAGTAACCTTAATATTGTTTTAATGTTAATTAAAGATTGTCCAAGTCTCTTCTAAACGTATCCCTGTAATATCGGTGTTTTCCGTTATTAAATTCAGTGGTTTTTCCGTTTAGGGACCCGGACACCCACTTTACCGACAAGAGACTTTACCGACAGGACACTTTACCGACAGGACACTTTACCGACAGGACACTTTACCGACAGGACACTTTACCGACAGGACACTTTACCGGCAAGAATTGTGTTAACAATTTGCCAAGGACTATGTGAAGACCTGGATAACTAGTTAAAAGTTTGGTTTTTTACAGACAAGTTAAATCAACCGTTAATTAACTAATAACACAACTTATTATCCTTATTTTGCATCAAAAACTGGTTCATAAAAATACAATATAGATACATGTGTAATATTTTTTTTTTTTTGTCTGACGAAATTGATAAAAATTGCATTTTTAAATGTTTATTTATCAATCATTTACAAAAAACTTTTGTGACACATTAATTATTATTATTATTATTATTTTTATACACAAAAATTTTTAAAATGAAATATTATGGGCAATGCCCGAAGAAACTCTATAGTTGATCTAATGTTACGGTCATTTAATACTGTTTGAATCCGTATTTCACGATTACGATCTTGTGGTTTCTGTGTAGGTCGTGGTGTTCCTCGCAAGACCATTTCTATGTCAAGTTTGACTTTGCTTTGTTCCTTTTGCATCTTTTTTATTATAAATCTTTTCTCTCGCATTTGAATACTTTTAACATAATTTCTTGAATTTTTATGGAAAAAAAGAGCAATGATTTTGAATGTTAAACTCGCACCCTTATTATATAAAAAACATTGAAAAGCCAAATTGCCAAAATAGTTCGAGCTTTGAGAAACAGTTTGGGCTAAAACCTTACTTGATTGTCGGTAAAGTGTTCTGTTGGTAAAGTGACCCAGACCCGTAAATTCATAATGAATATAACTAATGAGTGATAGTGATTGCTATAGATTCAAATTTCATTAATTCGATTCGGAGCCTTATAGAGGTTAGAATCATCCAAAAAAATCCTTAGTCGACTACTAGTTGGTCAAAAATTTCTTTAGTCGACTAAATTTTTTTTAATAATAATAATAATAATAATATATATATTTTTTTTTTTAATAATAATAATAATAATAATAATAATAATAATATATATATATTTTTTTTTAATTTGCAAATTACAAATTCATTTCAAAAAATACTTCCACAAAACCATGTGTTACAATTCGTTTTTTTAGATGTCTTCTGGAACCACCGCTTAAATCATTGAAATGAACTATTGGACCTTGTATTGGAAGTGTTTATTCATTCACATGTAAAATTATCACCATCAACATACTAATATAGTCGTCATCATCACATTGATGGTATTGATACTCTTCCGCGTAGAAATTTTCCATTTTGAATGATAAAACACAAAATCGTAATTGGTCAGACAATAATAATATTAGCATAGTATTAGTATTAGTATTAGTAGTAGTAGTATTAGCAGTCGACTAAATAATCGATTAAAATAGTTGACTATTTAGTCGACTAAGATAGTTGACTATTAGTTGTTCAAAAAAAGTTTAGTCGACTATTTTAGTCGATTCCAACCTCTAGAGCCTTAATTGATACTATTAATACATAAAATAAAAAATAAAGATAATGTAAATACAATGATTTATTTATTTCTTTGTATTTTTTTTTTTAATTCTACTACTATGACAAACTATAGAGTGACAATTTCAGGTCTAAAGTGAAACATAATATTTTGTTAATATTATTCATGTAATAAATATACCACAATGAGTTGCAATGAATTAATTACCTTTTATATTCTTTATTAGATGAAACAGTTTCAGATTCCTTTTGAATTGTTTCATTATCTTCATATTCAATTGTTAGTATTGTAATACTGATGAACTTTATCCTGAAAATATTCAATTATTAGAAAAAATGCATGATATATTAAATTATTTGATAAATGACAGGAGGTATTAAACTTTTTTTGTAAAATTTTACTCATAGTCTATTCCTGAAAGAGTTTCTTCATTAGGTATTTTTATATTATCTGTTTGCAATTATTTATTTGTTTATTGATGATTATTTATTAATTTATTGATTATTTTAGTTTTAAATAATACTACGGTAACTTGCTTGGTTATTAGAATAAATAGAGTGACTATAAGCAACCAATACAGTTTGTGGTTTATTTCTTGATAAAGAAGTTAAATCTTTCGATTCTAATACTGCCATTCCTTCATTAAGTCATCATATTTATAAACACTACTTTGATTATTAAAGCTTCAAATTACTTCACTGTAGAAATGATGACCTGCTGTCAATATATATTATATAGGGATGTTATTTTCCTCATAACAAAGTTGAAAAGTGAAGTCCATTTAATGAGATGAATTATAATTTTAACCATCTCTTTGAGTTATTTCAATTATTAAGATATGTGACCAAAAGATTATATATTCTTCATACTAATTAATCGATTCTTTTATGTATACATGGGATGGTAATTACCTAATTACCATAAATACGTAATTCTTAATTATTGTAATTAATTACCAATTTCCCTCTTTGAAAACGTAATTACGAAATTATTACGGGCGACGAAACTAATTACAAGCAACGAAACTAATTACGGACGACGGAATTAATTACGAATAACAATGAATTAATTATTGGAAATATCATAATACAAGAATAAATGCTGTTTGAAATCAAGAAACTGAAATTTTTCTATAAAACCCATTGTTAACACTGCAATGTCAACCATTTGCTTTATCCAAAGCAAATTAACAAAACCTCAGAGTCCTATACCACTCTGATAACCAAATGGACAATTAAACCCTGCTGTTTAATTTCTGACTACAAAAGTATTTTTATAAATGAAACAAAGAATTTATTTATTTATTATGTGAGAAATTATTTTTACAAGTGAATTAAATTAATGATAATAATAAATATTTCTGCCTCTACTTATTAGCAAGGCTCTGAAATATTGATTAATTGACCTGATGTTTTTTCATTTAGTCAAAAGTGACTTGTTTTTGTAATTATTTTTTATTAAATAAATAAAACATCCTATCAGAAAGTTCAGCCAATATTATTAGTCGCGGGACATTGCAGATCAAGTGTCATTCAATATAAACGTTACACGAAAAAATTTATTGTCCACTTCAAAAAAAAAAATCTCCATTTTTCATATAACAAGCAATTTTCGACCATGATAAAATTTTTAGAGCCAGACTGGAACTTTCTAATAACAGTTAAAAGAAAAGGTTAGCTTAAATATTGGTTATTCTACACTAGGTCAGAAGCGTTTCTTTTCTTCACACTTATTTTAAGATTTTCTTCCAACTAGTATGCAGACTAAAACAAATTC